CAGCAGGTGGAGGGAGGTGCCAATCCTGGGGAGAGTACTGTGTCCAGCTCTGGAGTCCTCAGCACAAGAAAGACACAGACACATTGGAGCGGGTCCAGAGGGGGGACCACAAAAACCATCACAGGGCTGGAGCACCTCCTCTATGAGGACAGGCTGAGAGCCTTGGCGTTGTTCAGCCTGGAGAAGAGAATTCAAACTGAATTATGACGACCAAGAGTAGCATGAATTCAGAAAAAAAACAAGCTTTAGAAGGGCAATCTTGTTAGCAGGGCCTGTTGCGATAGGACAAGGAGTAACAGTTTGAAACTAAAAGAGGGGCGATTCAGACTAGATATAAGGGAGAAATTTCTTACAATGAGGGTGGTGAAACACTGGCACAGGCTGCCCAGAGAGGTGGTAGAAGCCCCCTCCCTGGAAACATTCAAGGTCAGGCTGGACGGGGCTCTGAGCAACCTGATCCAGCTAAAGGTGTCCCTGCTCACTGCAGGGGGGTTGGACTAGATGGCCTTCAAGGGTCCCTTCCAACCCAAACTATTCTATGATTCTATATCATGCAGCATTTTAATCCACACACAGTTCTGCTGAAACAAGAGGAGTTAATCTCCGAAGATGTTAGCCAATATGGGTAAGATTATCATGTTCTGGTCTGAAATTATTTTGACTGTGATTTTACATAGCAAAGAAAAAAAAAATCCATCAAGAAAGGAAGAGCTGAGATCCAAATACTGAATTTAACTGCCATAAATGAAAAAAAGCTCTCCCTCAAGCTGAGCATCTCTGGCCACTTGTAAATTATTTCAAACATCTACAATTGTGGGAAGCATGCGTGACTTCAAAAACAGACTATAAATTTTTGGATCAAGTCAAAAGAAACTGGCATGAGAACAGCTTATAAAGACATCAGAAAATACCCAAAGGTTTCTAGCCCTGTGATTCTGTATTATAGCACTCACAGGTAATAAATACTTTATGTAAAGCTGCATTATGCTTTCACTAAAAATCCCCATAGTGAATTGTACAAAACTTCTGTGAAAGCATTATTTGTGCCTACATTTCCCATAATTTTCTCAAAATATAATTTTTTTTAAAAAGTCAGAGTAAGCCTGTCCTACTCTTTGAATAAAATGTTCATTAAAATCTATTTTAAGAATAAATATGAGGTTTTTTGTCAGTAGATAACTGAAAACAGCTAAATACTAAATGATGAAACATCTTCTGTAGTACACTGGAAACACTTGTCTGACAAATTTAAAGAGAAAGAAAAAATGGATCAAGAATTATTCACATGTGTCGGATTTTGCATATGTAATATCCAAAACCTGCAGCAATGAAAAAAAAAATTAAAAAGGCATTAATTTGTGTTTTGCCAGAGGTTGGTGCTCCATCATACTGGATACAGATCTGGTCATGGGAACCCCTGTTTTTCTGACCTTCCAGATTCTCTTGCTTCTCACTGTGTCCATAAATGAAGCCAAATGTCGTGAAAGCTCCAACTCACATTAAAAAAAAAATGAGGCAGATTGTCTATTTAATACCACCAACTGCTGTGAGAAGGCTCTATAGCATTTGCCTTCCCTAATTCCAGTTCAAGATCTTAACTCTGTGGGGACTGCTGCAATTGAAAGCCTAACTGCAATTTCTAGCTGCTCTTCCATATATGCAAGCTGAGTACTATTGCGTTCATTGCTTCAAGAACACAATGACTGATGGCCATCAGAGAGAGGGTCATGAGGAGATAAACCTTCATGGAAGCCAAGTATGATCTATTGATTCCCCCTCCCACCACAGAATGAACATAGCCCTCACTCTCATCAAAATTAAATCTGAAATTTATTTCTTCAGCTTACCTTTCCTCATATTTTTCACAAATATGTAAGGTATTCTCTCTCTTGCACATACAAACATGTATACAATAGAAATATATATAAACAAAAAACTCCAACAGGCCCTACAGACCAGTCAAGCATCTTTTTTGTGGTCCAGGAAGGAAGGGAGAGTCATTTTTATTGTTTAATTGCCAGGAAGTGTGCAGGCCCAGCCATGAAGGGGATCATTAATCATTAACTGACTTGCCTGTGTGTACAAGGCAGAGAGGCATGATATAAGTATTCCAAGATGCAGTCACAGCTAAGAGATAGCTGATGTAAAAGGCCATGACTTACAGTGGACTTATGCTTCTGCAGCTAAGACACCATGTTTAAAGACACTCTCAATGGTTTGTAGATGTCTGTTGAGCTGCTGCTATGGAGGTGTCCTGTAACCGCAAGCTCTCTGTGCTTTAACAGCAGGTCAGTGCTTTAAAACCTGGCTATGCAAAGTGCTGACCATCTCCTCCTGCCCCAAATCACCCTCTTCTAGGGCTACTGTTTTTACAGAAGATGTGAATGCAGTATTAGTCCAGAGAGAAAATACTTCTTTGTCATACACACATTGTGCACACGTGTACATTAGAATTCAGTCTTCATTTGTTCAGCAACTACCCAAATACATACCTGGTGATACTATAAATGCAAGAACAAAATTGATGTTCTTATGTTGGACTTTGTGTTCACACCCTTGACTTTACATGGCTAATTTTATCAACTTTTCAATAAACCCTGCTTTCAGATATTCAAAAGTACAACACAATAGTTTTATAATACTATTCTTTTAATCAGTTTTCAATTAAACTGCATCTTTTAGGGACTTTCATTGCTTATTTTCTAGTGACAAAGCATATGGACTAATGAATTCTAACATTAAAACATCACTTTAATGATAGAGCAAGCCTGTACAGCTAGAAACTTTTGCCAAAAGCTGTGGGAATTAAAAAAGAAGTTGTGCAACCCAATATTTCAGTAGCTTTATATGTTTAAAGAGAAACAAAATACATACTCTTTACCATTCTAATCTTCACTTAAAGTGCTTAGGGTTACATTTCTTTAATAATTTACATAAGGCTTAATAATTTGTCACAGGACTGTATTTTGACTGGTTTTAAGTAGTACTTTTCTATTCCAATGTTGCTTCTTAAAACTAAGCAGCAATTGCAAACTATGAGACTTAGAGCAGTAACAGCTTCTAATCTTTGATAATGGATAAAATCTTGGTTCCTCTGCCTTCAGTTGACAATGAGGAGTAACACCAGCACTGTGACCTCTTGATACCCTTTAGCATTGGTTTTCAGACTGTGGTTCATGGATTTTTTCCAAAGGATTGGTGAAAGACAACTAAGAAATATGAGTTTACTCTCAAGAGGCTTAAATTCACTATACAGGGATCTGCAGTGCTGAATATTTTGTAGAAGTAAGCAAACAGAAAAAGGTCGAAACTAACCACCACAAGATAACTACTTCAAGGCTCCATTTTCACTCCTCTCCTGCACTAGAAAGATGTCTGAGATCACAATAATTCCAAACAGTACCGTCTACCATACCTGGTGGACCTCTTCCTAGTCTGCAGTCAAGTGCAGAGCTCTCACACCTGTCTTCACTTTCCTCCCTAAAACAGCATCTGAGTGACCAGTATCTTTACTGTAAGTGGGAAGAGGAGAGCGGGTCATGGATACACTGTGATTTTTGGGTCATCACCATAACCCACCATTCCTGAAGAAAAAATGGTATGGGTTGCTCAGCAAAAATGCTGTCTACTTTACACCCATGAAAACAAAATCACCTAACTTATTTTCAGTAAAAGCAGTATTAAATAATCCACAAAGCCTATACAGCAGGCATACAACTTTTGTTACTTCTATCTTTTTCATTTTAAATGTAAGAGAGACAAATAAACTCAGTCTTACACATACCTTATGAATTCTACAGCACAACTGCTCCATGTAATTATTTATATAATAATTTCCCATATATCATCATGCAGCTACTTGCTGCTGTGTTTGTGATAGAGAAGAGATGCCTTTCATGATTTCTTCAATTGTTACGGGTCCAACACAAGAAAAAAAGGCAGCAAACATTTAAGTATCATCTTCAGGGGAGGGAGGCTAAGGATGCTACTCTGTCCTCACTATTCATCATCTGTATCCTGGCTCCTTATACTAGTCTAATTCTGTTTCCTCCAATTCACGTCATGAGGTTTCATTGAAAGTAGAAAAGCTTTAACTATCACATTATTCAAGGAAAACAGTAATTCGTTGAAGAGAAAAGTAGAACTAAATGCAAAAAATATTTTAAGAATATAGCAATCATGTAATAAACATACAGTTGAGAAGAGAATGAAATACAAAAATCAAAGTCCTGAGAGAAATGGACAGAAAGTCATAGTCTACAAACCAGAACAAACTATTACAATAACATAAGTACAAACCCCAACTAGAACAAATGGTGAAACTAATACAGCACTCCTAGGAGTTTTAGGGTTATCCCAACTTGCAGTGCATTCGAAATTGCTCTCTGAGCTAACCTTCCTCCTTCTTCACTGTAGACAAACAAGGACACACTAAATATTAAATATATTTCATTAAGCTAATATGGAGCAGGGAAATAAAGCCTGAATAGCTTGTGACATCTGGGTTCAGCTTGCTCAGTATCATCAATGCCCAGTCACTCATTCAGTTCTACAGTTGACACTTTTGTGAAAGCCCTGTGCTACCTTTGGCCCTCTCAGATTCATAAAAGTTTTTCTGTTCTTTCTTCTCATGCTCCAGAAGAGGTTTCACTTATGCTTCCTATAACTGTTTTTAACCCGTTCCTACATTTAACCCCAAACTTAGTTAAAATAACAAAGCTGCATTATGAAAGCATGTTTTTGTTGAACAGATGTTCTTCCTCCCACACCTATTTCATTACAGGCCCGTCTCTCCTACCCTCCTCATCCTGATAACAGTGTTTTTATAGCCAGCTCCCTTTGCTGATTTTAGCCAAGTTTCTAGGACACAATGTTTTAATTTAAACATAGTTCCAGTTCTACTATTTTATGTTGCATGTATTTGAACTTGCTTCTCTGTAACCCCAAAGGATGCTAATCTATTTCAAAACATTTTCCCAACCTTTGTTTGTCCAAGAGCTTTCCCACTACATCCACTTTTCTCTGTGCAGGTAGTCCAAGACCTCAGCTGCCCAGTGTCTCTGCCCCACTTTTGGGGAGACTGCAGCATATTATTACGCATAAACTGCATCCTCTAGTAGGACTGTATTATTGGCCATGTACTTCCTATGTGGTGAGAAACTCCAGGAAGAACTGGAAGTCCACAAAAACCTTTCTAAGAAGCAACCAATCAAAGCACCAGCATGGAAAAGTAGAGTTGGGGCTGCACCCTAAATAACAAAACTGACAGTCTTTAACAAACAAGATTCTCATGACTCCCTTATGCACCTACTTACCTGTCGCATTTTTCAGCATCATGGAGGGTGCGACTCATCTCACTTAACTGACTTTCAGATATTTAGAGTTATCTATTTCTGAGTGACTCATCTAACGCTCTTTGCAACTGCAAGGACAGCTGACAGCAGAGATACATCAGTCTGGCGGTGCGTGCTTCTTTACCTATTCTAGACAGAGAGCCTACATGACTACTTTGCCAAGTAAGCATTAGAAGTCAAGGTCTGTGAGGTAAATTACATTTTGAGACCCCTCTTTAGTTTCCACTTTCTGACAATCACCAGTTCTGTGCAAATTTCTTGTCCCTAATTAATCACATCTTCTGGTAAATGTTTTTCCTCCACACTGCAGAAACTGGTCTTACAATTCCATGCAGCAACCTTTTATTTCCACTTGTTGAACCCGATCATATAAGGGTGCAACTCCAGCTTCAGCCATGGCCCACCAGAGACAGAGCATGATTAGCAATGACATTCTTTACAGCTCATTCATTCAGAACGGGATAACGCATGTGAAAATAAAAATGAGCAAATTAAAAAGCACTAATATAAGGTTCTGTTACAGTTTTTTTTACTGTCTGTAATTGAATAGAAACCCCATATGTTAATTTAAACTCCTGGTTACTCCATACTTTTTACTTTTAATTATGTCCACGCCATAGTAGCACTATAAAACTAATCACGGAAGGTGGATCAGAGCACAGTTAGCATTCGGAGAAAATCATTCCATGATCTCCTTGCCCCTAAAGGGATTTTCCATCTCATAAAACACAGATTGCTAAGTATATGAAATAGAAAAGTAAATGTTACAGCCACTATCTAAAACAAAGTTTTAACTAAATAATCTCGGCAGTCAATCCCAATGCAAGGGGTCTGCAAAAGCCAAGCCAGGGAAATCGAAATGCTGTGTTAGATTAGTGTTGGTGAAGGGAGCGGTTTCCTGTGCTCTGAAGCAGCTTTCCATCCCTACCGCAGCACAGACTGCCTCAAACTACAGTAATCTTTCAGGGACAAGGCCTGTATGTAGTTTTACTAAACAAGCCACATTCTTGTCTGCCTGCCGAGGGCTGCTTTCCTCCTCCTCGGTGTCAGGGTCTGGCTGCAGAGAACATTTCACCAGTGGGATAAAGGCGGCTTCAGCAACAACATCAACAATGTAATCTGTAAAATTCCCACTCTGGTTTATCAATAAAATGGTTACGAAAACCTGCCTGGAATGTCAGAGATGTATTCTTTCCTCCTTTATTGTCCTCTTTTCTCTGTTTTACTCTGCTGCTGTGCATTTCCTTTCCTCATTTTTAAGTGTTTATGGAATATACATTTTGTCTCTTAGAAACAGTGCTGACAAAGCAGACAAACTGATGAGGAACTTGGTGTGACAACAAAATTGCACTCTGTAGTTTCTCTGCATTTTGCCTTGCACAATATTTCTAGAAGTAGCATTCTTTGCTGACCTCCTTCCATCTTTCTGAAGAACCTCAGAGCCTACTTTGACTTGAGAGACAGAGCTCCCCAATGAATGAGAGTGCCTGGCATTAAAACACTGCCACAGAATCTATTTTTTTTTTCTAATTAAAACATGGGGTTTTTTAAATTACTTTGAAAAAAAATCACCAACAGGTGGCAAAAGTATTCCATTTTTTGCCTCTCAAAATTATCCACGGACAATCAGCCAAATACTGTTCTGATACACGTACGACACATACTTGTCTCCTGACTTCAACTGGGATCACGTGGGATGTAAAATTTGTGCATAGCTGGCTTAAGGCTTCTTAGCTGCTTGTCTATGTGCTAGGAGAGAACTCTACTAGACTCTTAGAAAAGTTTTACAGTAAAAAAGTGATATACTGTGTTCCAAGCGAGCAAGTATTACAGCCATCCAACAAGACACAGTTTAATTTTAATAAGCCTGCCTTTGAGTGAGAAGCCAGATACAATAATTGGTGTAACAGGCTTCCACTATGTAAGCAGTAACCCATTCATGCATCTTGTTAGAAATACATGCAACATACCAGAAACTCCTGCTGGTGTCTTTATGAATTTTCCATTAAAATGAGCAATCACTGCTTCACATTTTTCTGTTGACTCCATTCTAAGAAAATAAAGAATAATTTGCATAAATTAAACACTCATTCAGATTCTCTCGTGATTTTTTTAAGCCTATTTCTTGCTTTTTCTCACTTCACTTTCGTGGCTTGTTCTCCCATGTGTGAGCAACAGAGAGGATGTTTTCTAAGAACACACAACTTCGGAAAGGTCAAACTAAACTCAGTTAACATTTTATGCACTCTGACACCAAAGTGAGTGCCAAACTGCAAATACAATACCCTTATTTACTTAGAAATTCGGTAGAACATATCTTGGACAGCTACAGTACAAAATACCTATGCTGTCTTGAAGGAAGCAGAAAGACTGATCCATAACCATTCATAACAGAATCCTTAGTGTCCATGATACATACAACAAATGTTAATGCCACTTTTGATTGAGGATTCTGAAGTGTTTGTACAGTTTAAGAGTAATAAACTCAAATATAAACATGCCTGACTGCACGACCCAAACTGCCTTTGCAGCTTTTAGCTTATATGCATCATCCTAACTAAATGATATACTTGTCTCTTATTTAATTGTTTTCAAGTTACCTTCGAAACAGGAAGCACTAACAGAATAGCTGTGATGGCTACTGAGAATTTATCCAGCATCCTGAACAGGTTTGTGCACTTCTGTTGTCAAAATAAGACTTACTAGACTGGGTGGACTACTGGTGAGCTAGCGCTAGTCTGGGAGCGGCTCCATAGGTTGCAGCTACATCCTTACATTGCAATGTTGATGTGTTGGTCCTAACTGCCAGCTTGGACTAAGTTGCAACAGATGACAGAGACAATGCAAGTATAACAAAATTTATTTCAAAAGAATATATTTTGCAGCTGCCTGCGAGATTATATTTGGATAACGGCCAACAGACATTTTCCTTTTACTTCTTCATTAAGTTCTGTAATTCCAACACACAAATTAGGCCAATGGCCTCAGCAGCAAAGAAGCAGCAAAAAATCACTAAGTTATCTTTTTTTAATTCTGATAGACTTCTGCACAGGCCAACAAAATACAGTCAGAGACAACAACCAAAATGCCAGACTGAACAAGAAGGTTTCTTCATGGTTTCAAAAATACCTTCTGGAGAATTTTCAGAAGTTCTGGATTGTTGGATCTGCATCAAAGAAATTAGCTTTTTTTTTTGTCTCGCATGAAACAAACAATATAATTTAGTTTCAGATGCAAGTCTGGACTTGATAAAATATATTACCCCTTATTAACCTAATAAAATGCTCCCAAAGGCAAGAAATTAAAATCTTTATTTAATGTCTACATTTTTCTTGGACAATTTTAACTTTAACTAATATTTATCCAATACCTACCTTGCAGAAGGGAAGAAATTCTTATTAGATATGACAGCAACAGCTTATTCTATAAATTATGTATAATATACGTATGTCAATATAAAACATGTATATTAAAAAACCTTTAGGTTTACTTATATTTATAAAACATATAATGTTTTACATGAGGACCTATTGAGAAAATACTTACTTTAAAACGAATCTCTTAATGTCTTCAATACGAGTGAGGTTTTTGGATACACACGAGTCTTTTGGATTTTTACATACAATTCTAAAACTCTTATGGTTATATTAGAATAAAAGCATTCCTAAAATACCACTGATTCAAGGTAGAGTTAGTAAGCAAGTTTAGGGACAAAAGACTGAATAAATTCATAATGCCTACTGAATTTCAGCTTGAGTGTTACTGGATTCTGCCCTTCATAGTAAATACAACTTTTGCATCTATATTGCTTTGTACATCATCCAAAAACACATACGCACTGTCTATACTTGTACAGAGTTCCCACTCAAATACTTATGCATATGTTTATATGAAAAAAATACAAGTGTACGAACAAAATAAAAATGCCCAATTAAATTTACATCAAAAATGTACTTATTGATTTATTTAAAGGGAACAGAAAGAAATTTTGGTAGAAACCAAACTTGCTAGTTTTGCCCTCTTAAATAAAGGAATATCATCCCGTTGTTTCTAATTCTGTTCCTTTTTGTATCTTCTTGTAACTGGACAGTCTGTCAAGCAAATAAATTGGGGGGCAGGATTTAGAAAAAAAAATTATAAAATCACAGTGCTGTGAACTACTCATACCAATCCCTAAAAATTTTGGCTTCACCAGGTGATATTATTTGTTCAGTTCTTTTCTGTGCACTAATTTTAGATTCTGCTATTTGTTCAAATACAGAGCTATTGTAATGTTGGCTGAATACCTGATTTACTGGAATTCGACCGTTGACAGAGGTTTTACAATGTATTTTGGGAATCCCAATTCTTTGCACAAAGCATGCCCCTATTTTTGATGACAGAAATCTCCAATCTAAAGCCTCCAGATTGGCATACTAGGTTTAAAGCAGGACTTAATGGAAGAGAGAGAAAACTGTTAGAAAGGCATAGAAAAGGCTTCAGTGAAGAGGCCCCAAAACAAACAACTGAATTAACTAGCGAAAAAGTAGACTCACATGGATGGAATATTTGGGAGTTATCTACTAATTTATGGAAAATACTTGTTCTTGTTGATTTGGGAGAGATATTTGACCAAGCTGTCAAATATTTAAAGTGAGATCTACTGTAAGTGATTAAAAATATTTTCTTTCCCAGATGACAACACGTTAATGAGTCAGAAAATTCAAAGGGCTGATGTTCAAAGGGCAATGATGAGTCAATTTTCTCAGAGGAACTAATGAATAAAAAGAAAGGAAGAAAAATAGAAGGGGGGAGGAGGGGTTCTTCCTTATTGTCTCCTGTCTTGATTCAAGCCTCAAAAGCCAGAAATGTCACCAAAGTTTCTGTGAAGTACTGCATAATTCTTGCTTACTGCTTCAGGGATAGAGGAGAAAGAAGAAGTACAGAGAAGAGGAGGAAGTGGTAGAGAGGGAACTCTTATTCTAGATAGTTGTCCAACAAAAGCAATAGATTCAGATTTAGCCATCTAAGCGAGATGAGACACGGCCATATTTGCTTTACCAAATGAAGAATTAACAAAACCCTGCTGGTATCTCCATCTAGATCTCCCTTTTCTTTAAAAAACTTACAATTTTCAGTAATTTCTACCTTTTCCTCCTATTCCTACCTTTTTAATTTAAAAAATGAATAAAAGCTGCCAGCATGGCCAACGCCACTGAAGTACCTTGCAAAGCCAACACCACGGCTTGTCCCACTTGAGTCCCGCAGTATCCTCGTAGAGATAACCTGCCCAAATGGTTTCAGCATGTTGTCAAGCTCCTGTTCATCCATTGAAAGTGGCAAATTGGAAATGTATAAGTTAGTCGGGTCTTGCTCTTGTTGCTGAAAGAGAATTAAAACGAATTGTTGTTGTTGCTGCGACTGGAAAGATATTTTTAATATAAATATAACAACAATTACAAGTAACTACTGGCCCAGATTTTTACTTCTCAGGACTCTTTCTACAGGCTGTTCTTCCCTAGCATTAGTGACCTCCATCTTCTGTCACTGTATACAGCATTCCTGAGAAAGCCCCCCTTCTCCTATTACTGCTGACAATGACACTTTAAAGTGGAGATAAAGGTAAATAATTGACAAGTTCATAGCCTGTATTACAACTTGATGTTTCAGATTTTTATGAAAGAAAAAAAAAGCAAAAACAAGGTAAAGGAACAAAAGTAGCAGACAAAGAAATACAAGACTGGTGGAAAGAGCCAAAAAAAGACAGATGTAAACTACAAAGACAAAACATTGGAATGACAATTTGAAAATAATTTGTGGAAATAAGGAGACAATGCACCTAATATTACCAGGAGAATAGGCTGATACACACAGAAGTAGGTGGGACACTGTCACCTTCTACACATGAACGCTACTGAGTATTTACCAAACACTTACATTATGCATTCAGACAATACAAAAGCCTTCCAAACACTTTCTCTAGAGATAGACAAAATGAAGGAGGAGGGGACCCAGGAGGTGAGCGATTAGGGAGTAGTTAGTCACGTCTTCGCCATTCCCCTGACCTTGGGCTATCTACTTTGTGTGACCGATGTATGTACCATGAAATTCAATCTCAATCAAAGAAACATTTTTATTGAAATTGAGTGTTTCCAATGTTTGTCTACAGATTCTCCACCTGCAGTTATGGAGCACCTCTTGCATCCCTCTCATACTGCCAATTGCTAGCCACACTCCATGATGAAACACGCTCTTAATCTACACAGATCTATATGACCTGGACCTTACAGTTGTGCAAAATCTCCATACTGTCATTGTGGCTCCCTGTGTAGACCTAAGTCTCTGTAGAATGCAATATATATTCATATATTTTTTTTTTGCATTTAGAATGGTATGACCTGAAACAAATAAAATTTTGTTGGCATAGTCATCAGTGTATTTTCATTCTGTGCAAGAGGGCTAACTGACTTACAGGGAAGTTTGAATTAAACCAGAAAACAAAAAACAAACCCACAACACTTTCCTACTGGAATTAAAGCATTTATTAAAGTGATTATACCTGTATGGGTATTCATACCTCCTTATGCAGATTAGACCTCAATTTGTCCTTAAGTTGCCCTTATATTAATAACATCTCAGTACCTTTGGTAGCATATTGCATAAGTTAATAATTTGCTATCCTGGTTATCACCTCTCAGTTGGGATTGGTTTTCCCTAGGACAAAAAAAGAAAAGGAGTAGGGGCTGGGCAGGGATGTCACGCCTTTTAGGCACAGAAATGAAATCTCATGTTCAAAAATTAATGAAACTTAAAAACAGAGAAGCAAATTCTGTGCTTATGGACCTTCCCTATTTGCATTTTCACCCCTAGTCTCACACTTATTTAGAAAGGGCTTTCAAGTTTTCTGTAAAGGTTTTTAAGAAACTTCAGCATCAAAGGACCTATAAAAGGAAAACATGTTTCCATTACATCTTCCTGATCTGCACCATGCCACTGATACGACTGTAATTCCTAGGCACACTGAAATCCCACACAGCTTACAAAACACAAACTTTTCCAAGTGCCCAAGCGTTACCCTTGTCAGTCCCTTTACAGTCCATTACAAATGGCATGACTACAGAGTATGTTTCTCCTCGTGTTACCCATGCATCCCCCCCAAAACACTGACTCTATACAGTACACATAAAAGTTTGTGATTTAAATTATCATAGAACATCTGATTTCTCTTTTGTATTAGAAAAACCAGCAGAAAGAGAAGACAAGAAAATGGATTCGCTGAGACCAGAGCTGACATTAATATTCATAGCTGGGCAATGTTGAACCGTGATGGGAAAACCCCATTACAGTTATGTCTTTGACATACAGTTCAAATTTCTTCAGATAGGAACGTGAAATGAAGACAGCTTTCATGTTTTTAGAATTAGCTTGTAACTTAGACTGTATTGGTCAATTTAGTTTTGTACCTTGAGATACACAGGCTTACTTCCTTCTTTAATAAACACTATCAGCAAAAGCTTTACAGGAGGTTTTAGCCACAAGGATCACAAAATTGCATTTGTAGCTATAGCATAAATTCCTGAAACTCAGAATAGTATTTGAAAGAAAAAAAATTGGCTTATTTTACTTTTTATTATGTTATAAAATATAATGCACACAATTATCCCAAAACTTCCCTGAAAAACCTAAAACTGTATATAAGCTGGAAAATCAGACCCTTTGCATATGTTTATCTACTTCACTAATGTTTTTATTCTATAATAACAGAAAGTCTGAATTATATTATAAAAATGTTCTCATTAAAAAGCCTAACAACATTTGAAAGGATAAAAATGGTCCCATTCTGCTCACACTAATAAAAATGTAATTTACATGCAAAAAAGAAATGCTTACAAACAGAAACACCTAATAAGAGAAAGAAATTCAGTCAACTGCAGAATGTCAGAGCAATCTGCTTTATTCAGGTAACTAAGTAGATCACATTCCCCTTCTCCCAGGCTCCTGTTCCAATCTAGAGGGTTACCACACTTTTGCATTATACAGGCAGTGTATTCAGGATGAGAGCTCAGGAGCTTTCCTTACCAAAAGGGACACAAAGACCTACTGCGACTCACTGTAACATATGAAGATATTCCTCCATACATGCTGGGAAGCTCAACTCTTCTACCTATCCATCTAGCAGAAGAAACTTCATGTCATAAAATCATGTAATAACATTGTCAGAGAGGTGAATGCTCAACTCCGAAAGAATATTAGCAACTTTACCGCTAACTCTGCCAATCCCTCAGGAATGGAGGAAAAAAAAGTGCATCTGAGGAAATTGTGCTAAGGAAATTGCTTTCTCTGAACAGAAAGTATTTTGTGATGGAAAAATTTGACTTGTGGCCCACAAAACAATTCGTATTTGTATTAGTAACAAGATTAGGTTTTGGTCAGGCACATGCTGAACGGGTGACTGGAAAGGACTTACTTCTGCTTTCCTGACTCTTTCTCTATGTCATAGTCTATATTACAGCCTGAATACTCACAGAGATTCAATTATTTCTGCTTTTGATCCTTCGACAGGACATACTAACCACAGCGGAAAAAAAGGAGTTTGAAAATACTCCTACATATGTCCACAGCTAGAACCGGTAAAGACGGCAGACATGGGAGAGAAAGCGCAAAAAAAGCGGCCAACGGATGAGGATGTCACACTGAAATTCTGGAATACCAGTTGAAAATTCATTCATCTGTAATTATCTCATAACAAAATAGTTGAAATGCCAACAAGCACACTCCACAGTGCACCAAGGTTGCATCTGCACTGCAGGTGCAAACCCACTGCCGCGCTGGGGAATGGCAGCAGTTCAGCTGTAAGGACAAATCACAGAACATCTCAAGTTGGAAGGGGTCCATAAGGATCATCAAGTCTAGCTAGATCAGGACAGATTAATTTAATCCACTCACTTCTTTTGGAAGAAAAAAAAAAAAAAAAAAAAAGACTGGTTCTCGAAAGAGCTCATTTACAACACTAAGATAATACTGTTGGGGTAGATGTGAAGAACTCTTTCCAGCGTGTATTTGGAATTTTATACTGTTTGGCTGCAGAAAAAATATGCCTATTAATGTGCAAAACACCTCCTCTCCTCCTGTTCACTACTTATGTCTCCATGCAGCTTCTGTCATGTCCACAAGACTACTAAACCTTAAAACAGCTATCTGGGTACATTTAGGGAGATCATAAGCAGCAAGTCATTTCCTTCTCCTCAGAACATGCTGGATTTCCAAGCTGACTTCCAAATGGCAACCACAACTAGGACCCCCCATCCATCTTTATCCTGTCTTACACAAAAGGCACCATACAAACAGATGTTTGCTTTTATACAAGGCTTTGGCATGGAAAATGGTTAAACAGTTAAAAATTCAAGTTAGGAGACAGACAAACTTTGAAACTCATCCCTCTGTCTCTCTGGCAAACAGTTTAATATGTTAAGTTCTGGGACTTCCTTCCTTACCAAAACCTGTCTCAACATAGTTGAATTCATATGGTTACTACAGTTCTGTTTCAGAAAAGAAAAATAATTCCTTTGATATCTAAGTTTCTAATTTTTATTCTGGAATTCAACAAAAAAAGTGAAACTGGTGAAAATATCCACAAACATAACAATTCAGCCCAAATCTGGCCTATACACTGTAATTGTTCTAAGTGCTTTCAAAGCTAGGTTTTTTTCCTGTGCTTAAAACACATGAAATCTATAAGCTGCTTTCACCTTAGAAATCTTAAATCACTTGAAATTATTTGAATCATTTTATGGGAATGATCAAAAAGAATTACTAAAGTCAGTGGAAAGCTTCCTACTTCAGGCTAGCAAGCTAACATTAAAATATAAACCACTGAACTACTGAGATTTTTTTTAAAAAAAAATCTACACAATTTAGGAAAACTGCTTAATTTGAGATTCTTTGTATCTCATACAGGTTGTGCTCAGTTAACAGAACCTTCAGCAAGTCCTGAAAGTGCTCAATATTTGCAGATGATGGGCAATGTCAGGGAATTTGTGGGCTACTGTAAGTATACATATTACTGAAGAAACTAGGAAGTCTTACTTTTAGCAACTCAAGTCAGTAAGTTTCTATAAATCATTTCTGACCAAACACCTTTAGCCACGTCTCCAGAATTTCTCTAGCAGAAAAATGCTCTTGCAGATTAATGTACTACTTATTCGTAAAAACTAACTTAAGCTGACTACAAGATACAGTATTTCTCGTAAGAGACAGGAGTAATCAACTGCTAATATTAATTTCTGTAGGAAGAGATGATCAGGAGTCCTACATAATATGAAACGCTCTGCCATCATCTGAAAGAAATTAACAGAAACCTCCCTGTGCGTGTGGAACTGTTC